GGTGTACCAGGCAGGTGTGTAAACCACATGCAGGTGTGTAACCCACATGTCTGAAACCCACAGAAAGGTCCTGGGACCATTCAGGATGACCTCAGATATTTATCTGCAAGGTCGAAGGAAATGGGGAAAAACCTCCCCATTGCCTCTGTGCTCACAAATCCTGCCTTAAGGGCACATTTAAGGTGTGAATAGGGTGAGCCTGTGACCTGTGACCTGGATTCAGGAATTAGGTAGTTATAATAACAAAAGAGTGGCCAAAACCCAGATAATGCAATCAGGTAACCTGCCAGACAGGAGATAACACACTCAGGATTCTCTTTTAGACCACCCCCTGTGATGTATGTATGATGTTTCTGGGGGTGGTCTTGAGTTTGAGGATGGGCAATTTCAAAAAATCTATATAAGGGCCGGTACACCTTTGTTCTGGGCGCCTCCTCTTTCCTGCTTGTGGTGAGTAAGGACCCTGTTGCAACCGTTTTAATAAAGATCAGGCTTACTAGCTGCTTTGCTTCTCAATATTCTCTTGTTGGCCTCTGTTATTTCTCCTACCAATAGAGAACCTACAAAAGGACTCTATATGGGCTCTTAGGTACTTCATAAGGGAAAAGGAGCAGTTTTTTTCTCATAACATTGTTGACTGATGAAGTCTCTGCATTCCTGCTCTGGCCAAAAAGGACATTAGGTTGGCGAAGCCTGACTGAAAGCATGGCCACAAAGAGGCAGGCTTATGCCCTCAGGTTCCCAAGGAGCAATTAAGTACAGGGATGCTTTAGCAATCCAGTTTCTGTGCATTCTGAGGTGAAATGAGTTGAGTGGAGCCAGTGCATGGTGCAGTGGTTAGCATGTCAGACTAGGACCTAGGAGACCAGGGTTCAATCGCCGTTTAGCGCTCACTTGGGCCAGTCACAGTCTCTCCACCTCCCCTGGGAAGGGAAAATGGGGAGGGGGATTTACTCCACCTTCTTCTCCTTCGAGAAAAGGCAGGACATAAACAATAACATATGCATTGGGGTAAAATGCATTTAGGAATGTGTGCATTGTGATAAAAATGCCTTTAAATAGATACATGAGCACACATAAACATGAAATTTATTATGGTCAGAGACCAGCTTGTGAAACACAAATGGAACTACAATCCCAAAAGCAAAACAAACATTTAAAACAATATACAACAATGGATTTTAAGTTTAAAAATGCGGTAGGTATATAAACACATAAAAACTTTAAGATAGACTGCCATAGAGAAATGAACCAGAGTCTCCCGTGGATCCGAGTTTGGGAATTTTCTTAACAAACTATATTGAATCGGGGGATGAGCACACATTTTTATGCAGATTTTTTAGGAAAAGGTCTGATCCAGACCTTTTAAATCAAACATTCCACAATTTCATTATCCCCACCCCTTCTCAGTAATTCCTTAGAAATAAGGTTGTTCTTCTTTTTAACAGTGTTGGCCATAGTAAATAAATGCAAGATTCATTTTGATCTGCACAATTTTTTTCAAGTTGCAAAATTTAGTTTTTTATAAGGTGGCCCAGAACTTTCAGTTGTTTTTTAAACCACAGGCCTAGGTTTATAGCGGTTCCTGGCTAAGGGTTTGACCAATTGCTGAAAGGGGGCAGTTTGGGCTGAGCTGCCCTCAAAACCTCTCATCTGACTCCACGAGCCACTGAGCATCAAACCTAATGTCCTTATTCTTTCTTTAGCACCGAAAAGGCTGCTGTGGCCATCCCGGGTCCTTATTTCCTTTGTTGAACAAGTTTCTGTTTGCAAAGGCATAAAGAGTCCACATCAACTTTTTTTTTTTAAAGGAATCTTGTTGATTTAGTGCCCATAGCTGTGTCTTCTTCAGCTGCTAACTCTTTGGGATTTGAGCTGTCTGGGACTTAGGCTTCATCTCCATGGGTTAACAAGGAGGAAAGCACAATGAACATTCGTAGCTCCCATTAGAGTTAATTTAATCCCATCATTGTTTAGATTGGATGCTGCAATGAGGTCACAAATGAGCTGAAGTTCTCTGGTGGCTTCTGATCTGTGCCGTGTGACCCTTCTGGTCTGGGGTGTAGGAAGTACCTATTTGCACAGGGCAGTAAGTAACCACTCAGCTATGGCCCACCTTTCTGCTACCTGTGTTGTAGCCAGTTCTGATTCTGACTGAACATTTGGACAGCTAGCATTTAATGAGCTCCCAATAAAGGCAGTGTTTCTGACTCCCGCAGCTGAGTCCAGTGAGCAAAAGCAGGTCCAGTTGGAGCCCATATCTACTAGTCATGCTATCTGTGTAAGACTTTGGAGCAGAAGTCCAGGGCTCTACTCAGCCACATTGTGAGGGTGGGGGATTGAAACAGCACTGACTCATCACAATTTAAAGTAGAATGAACCAAGACATATTGCCATCTGAAAAGCCCCCACCCCACCTCATAAGCCCTTTAAAGCCCAGCCTCTGAAATGGCCCAACTAAAACACTTTTCTTATGTGGAGTTAGAATCTCCTTTCTTGTAACTGGAATACATGGGTTCGAGTCCTGCCCTCCATGGCAGGAGAAAACAAGCTTGCTCCATCTTCCATGTGACAGCCCTTCAGATATTTGAAGATGGGTCTCCAACTCCTCTCAGTCTCCACTTTTCCAGGCTAAACAAACACAGTTCCTTCAACTGTTCTTTATAAGACTTGATTTCCATACCCTTGGTCATCTTGGTCACCCTCCTCTGCACACATTCCAGCTTCTTAAACCGTGGTGCCCAGAACTGGACAAAGGACTCCAAATTTGGTCTGACCAACACAGACTCTTGACTTCTGTTGGTGCAGCAGAACTTTACATTTACGCTTTTTGAAATTCATTTTGTTAGTTTGGGCCCATCACTCCAAGCTGTTGGTTATCTCGAATCCTAATTACCGTATTTTTTGCTCTATAAGACGCACCAGACCACAAGACGCACCTAGTTTTGGGAGGAGGAAAACAAGAAAAAAAATATTCTGAATCTCAGAAGCCAGAACAGCAAGCGGGATCGCTGCGCAGTGAAAGCAGCAATCCCGCTTGCTGTTCTGGCTTCTGTGATAGCTGCGCAGCCTGCCTTCGCTCCATAAGATGCACACACATTTCCCCTTACTTTTTAGGAGGGAAAAAGTGAGTCTTATAGTGCAAAAAATACGGTATGTCTTTAGTGCATTAGCTACTCTTCCCAGTTTGGTGTCATCTGCAAATTTGATGACCGTCTCCTCAGTTCCTTCACTCGGCGTTTATAAAGACGTTGAATAACAATGGGCCCAGGACAGGACCCTGCCAAACCCCACAGAATCACAGATTTGTGGGGTTGGAAGGGACCACAAGGTAATTAGTCCAGCCCTTGCAATGCAGGAATTTCACCTAACATGAGACTCACACCCATGACCTTTGTCCCTTTTTTTCAGGATGGTGAGGAACCATTAATGAGCACTCTTTGAGTTCAGTCAGTCAACCAGTAACAAATCCACCTAACAGTTACCTCGTTCAACACACATTTTACCACCCCTCCATAAATATCATGGCAGACTTTGTCAAAAGCATCGCTGAAATCCAGATACACTTGTACCTCGGGTTAAGTACTTAATTCGTTCCGGAGGTCCGTTCTTAACCTGGAACTGTTCTTAACCTGAAGCACCACTTTAGCTAATGGGGCCTCCCGCTGCCGCCAGGGTACGATTTCTGTTCTCATTGTGAAGAAAGGCTGCTCTACACCTAGACTAGCCAGATGTTGCAACTCTCATCAGCCCCAGTTAGCATGGCCAGTGATCAGGGATGATGAGAACAGAGGAGCCCAACAACATCTGGATGGCTTCAGGTTGGCAAAGGCAGTTCTACACTGGCTGGCAGTGGGGTTTTTTAGTGTTTCAGACAGGGCTTTCCCCAGCCCTCTCTGGGTATTTGCCCATATAACTTGATACTGCCTTCCCCACTGGACCCTCTACTGAGACTTGATCCAGCAGCACTACCACCACATGAAAGTTTGATAAAAACAATTTAAGAAGGTGCAGCATATCCAAGCATGGAGATGTAGTGAAGAGAACAGCTTCAGTCTTTGTTTTTATTTATTTATTTTAAAAAAAATAATTATATATCGCTGTATCATAAAAATATAACACAGTGGTTTACAACAATACAAAAACACAAAACCAGACAGTAAAATCATAGACAGTTAAAAGCAAAAGCAAAAACCAAGAAACGAATGGCCACATGGGAGAAGTTGTGGAATGTGGACATGCTTACAACATGTTATACACTGAAGGAAAACTACATGAAAATGATGTACAGGTGGTATTTAACTCCTACTAGATTGGCAAAAATGTATAAATCAAAACCAAATACATGCTGGAAATGTAAAGAAAAAGAAGGTAATTTCTACCATATGTGATGGTGTTGTAAAAGGGTAAAAGTTTTCTGGGAAGTGATTTATAACAAATTAAATAAGATGTTTAAGATCATTTAACAAAAAACAGAAGCTTTTCTTTTAGGAATTGGAGGTAGTAAGATACCAAAAGATCTTTAAAAAAATTGTTTATGTATGATGCAACTGCAGCCAGAATGGTTTTTGCCCAGAGATGGAAAGAAGATGTAGTACCAGCTAAGGAAGAGTGGCTAATAAAATTAATGGATTATGCCAAAATGGCAAACTTAACAGGTGTAATAAGAAACCAAGAAGAAGAAGGAATTATTAAAGTTTGGGGAAAATTTGTGGAATATTTGAAATATTCATGTGCTCATTAGCAGGACGAAGGTAAAACTAGCAGTTAAAACAGATTATTATGAGAAACTAAGGAATAACAAAGACAGAGTCATATGGAAAATACAGTACGAAAATTAAAATTTAAAAGAAACCACAAAAGGGGGAAAGTCAAATATATGCATATGTGATTTGTGTTTTTGTTATTTGCATGTTTGTAATGTTTTTTGAAAAATAGAAATAAATTTTATATATATATATAAAAGAAATAAGAAACGGAACCAGCAGAACCATTGCGATGCTGTACTCTTTTTTGCCTGCATAGGCCTGGCGAAACAAGAAGTAATGAGAGCAGGCGTTTAAGATTTGGCTGATAAAAGGGCGCAGCCTCCCCTCTCCCCAAGTCTCGCCCCTTCATCCTCTAAGGCCGCAGCGGAGGGCGCCTCCTTGCACGCTACTCTTTAGCAATGCCCAGCACATGACTCTCTCCTGCCCCTCCAGTCCATGTGATCCAGTCTCCGTTTTCCCTTTGCTCCAGAGCAGGGTGGCGAGTGGACAGCGAGTCTGTCCAGCAGCCTGTTTGTAGCAAAGCATGGAGTCGGCAAGCGGCTCAGCATTCCGGAGCATGGCCACTTGAGGCTGGGATGCGCGGGGCGTCGGGGGCAAGCTTGACCAGGACCCATCCTTGAGGCTACCTTCGCCTGGGGACCACAAGGCGCTCGCCGGCCAGCCGGCCATGGACTCCCGGCTGTTCCTGCTGCTGCTGCTGCTGCCCATCTCCCTCTCCCTTTGGTTTTGCGGTAAGTAGCTCTTGAGCCGGCGTCTCTTCCCCACTTTCACGGTACTGGCTCCGATTTTTTGCACCTTCCGCTGAGTGCCGAATTCAGGAGCCGCTTTAAGCCTCCGTGCAGAGAGCTCATCTTCAAGAGCACGTGCGCGGGCTATTTTGAAGCTGCAGAAGGCGTAAAACAAACAGACAAACAAAAGTAAGCAAACCCAACACTGTAATAATGTTTTCCCTTTGCTCTGGATGTGGAAGCAAGAGTTCGGCCACTTTATTCTTTTGCAAAGCTTTGTGTCTTGTAGATGCTGGTAGGTGGGGACAACGCTGTAAGGAAGAGCAGGGCGAGGAAGTTCCCTAGGTGGGCGTCAGCCGCAGGTGGCTTCCCGCAACAAAAGGCCCCGATTCTTGGCTTTCTAAGAGGTGGTTCCCGTGAGGAATCTCTGTGTGCGATCGCGCCCACTTTTGCGAGGGAATTTATGCCCTCCTTTGCTTATAGTTTAGAGCGGGTGGCCAGAGAGAGAGAGGGTTGAGAACAGACCCAACTTCTTGGACTCCCTTGGAGAGTTGCAAGGTCATCTCAGAAATTTATCCCGTTTTTCAGAAGGGGGGGACCGGGAACGCGCTCCTTTTCTTTGTCTGCCTCCCGGGGAGGCGGGTTAGGAGGCAAAGAGGAGCTACATCAGAATAGGGAAAGTCCGTGTTTGTTCAGAGGACCTTCTCCTCACCCTCGCTCTCCAATTTGAGGCTCCCAGCCTGGGCCGGGCTGCCCTTTTCTCAGTCCTGACCATCGCAGGAGCCGAAAGGAAAACGTTTGCACCCAGTAATTCCCCTCTTTTTCTCCTGGACCGACTTCTTTGTCTGGCTCCTGGCATTCCGTTGGTTCCTGGGACGCAACCGGGCTGCTTTTGTGTCCAGTAACCATGGCTACAGAGAGAGCGTGTGAAGTAACGATGGGGGCTTTTGTGTGGCTGCGGAGAGCAGGCCCCATGGCGCGCGGGGCTGCTCCTCGATGAGCCAGAGTGCGGTCGTGGGGCGATCTTTCTTTGGGACAACAGCTTGGAGGAGGCTGTTCTTCCTTATCCTTTCTTGGTTTTTAGAGAGATCGCAAGGGCGGGCATCCCACTTCAAAGCTGCTGTCTGGCATTCAGGGAGCCCTGCTAACTGTACAAATCTCCAGACCCAGCCAACTAGCAGAGGGGGCTCTGCCAGCATGTCTTACTGCTTGAAATTGTTCCTTCTTCCTTGAGAGGGAGAATTCCAAACCTTTCAACGACCCTGTAATTACATGTAGGCATTTGGCACAGCCCCCGTTTCACAGAGCAGGAAAACTGAGACACCAGCAGGCCAAGTGAAAGGCTCATAGCTGCAGTGGGTCCAGGACCCGCTCTGGGCAATTGTAATATTGCAGGTCTAATATTTCTACCCTGGTGAAAATGGAATGTATGAGCTGATTGATCTGCTCAAGCCAATACCTAAGGCCTGCCTCCTGCAACCATGGGTGAATATCAGGCACATGGCCTTTTCAGTAGTGGCTCCACAGCTGTAGAAATCCCTCCCAGCAGGTCCTTTCTCATCCTATCTTTAAATGGGCTGTAAAGACATTTCTACTTAAGCTTTTTTTTAATTTAAAAAAATGTTTTGCTTGCCTTGTGATATTTCTGTTACTGTGAAGTTTGATTAGAACAGCTATGTTATCAATTTGTTTTAAATGATTTGTGGCCTTTAAAAAGTAGTTGCACACCAGTTTGTGTGTGTGTAGAGCAGCAGTTCACAAATGATATGAAATGAATTATTATTAATTACATTTGTATCCCACCTTTTCTGTAAGGAGCTGAAGGTGGCTTACATAGTTCCCCTCCACTTTTTATCCTCACAACAACCCTGTTGAGGTAGGTTGGGCTTGAGAGTAAGTGGTCACCCTGTGAGTTTAATGGCTGAGTGGGGATTTGAACCCCGATCTCTCAGAGCACACCCAACACTCTAGCTGCTACTCCATACGGTGCCAGCCAGCCTTGTTCAGTTAGCGTGCTTGGTTTGAAGTTGCCCTAAGCATGCTTCCATTGGGAGTGGGGGTTGGTGTGGGTGGGAAAGTGTTCTGATGTGTTGGTGTAGTAGCAGGTCTCACCCTTGTGAGCTGCAGGGCAAAACCCCTATGCAATGACGTTAGAGCCCATCTCTTCCACTGGGTGCCTACCCCTGCCTATGGTGCCACTGAGGCAAATCTCAAATCTCCCACTTTTGAGTAGCAGATGCCTGGAAGTTTTTCAGATAGCCCCATCAGCATACCACTTGTGGGGACGGGATGCTCTTGAGGATCATGGGGCAGAGTTCACAGGGCAGAAGGGGGCACTGAGGCTGGATCCAGACACACCAGAGAAGCGTTTCAGTTAAACACGTTGTAAACTTTGTATGAGAAATCTGGTTGGCATAAACAGAACTCCACAGCGCCCTCTGTGTCACAACAGATATAGAGTGCTTTTTCTTTGCCAATATGGCTGAGTCCTGAGTCACAGGCAGTATTGCACTATTTAGTTTGCTCTTGACCGTGCACTTGAGTGGGGGACTGGGAATCTGTGCCTTTTCCATTCAACCTAGAATGGAGGAGGAGGAGGAGGAGGAGGAGAAGAAGAATCCTGCTTCGTATTGAGGCTTGAGGCAAATCTGGCTCTGTCTGTCCTGGTGTCATGTAGACACCTGGAGTGCAGCTCAGACGTGCCCCAGCCATAATGTTCCTTCCTCCTCTCTTAAGTGGCTGATTTGCCTGCCTTAGCTGCTGGCGTATTTAGATTGGATTTGGAATTAAGGCTTGAGAGCCAGCGTGCCTCACCAGAACACACAAGAACTCTCCCCCCCCCCCGCCTTGATCCCATTTCCCTGTTTGATATGTAGCAGCAGCAGCAGCAAGATCAGAGGAGGTGGGAAGCATGAAGGTCACCCTTGAGGAGTGTTTACAAAGGGGGTATTCTGCTGGGTGAGTGGGGCTACAATGGGAAGTGGCAGATCAAAGAGCTTCAGGGGCAGAGTAGGCAAGACAACCATAAAACCAGAGTGGATTTATGGGCCTTGTAGGGCCCCCTCCTCGAAACCTGATAATAGGAGCAGTTTCATCTCAGAGGCTGTATGAAAATGGTAGGTGGATAATAAGATGCACACCTGGCCGGTCTTCTATTCAGGGGACATCTGCTTCAAGCTGCACTTAAGGGCACTGTGAATATTTAATGCATACATTTTGGCACCGCAGCCCCTGCAGAGGCAGAAAAAGAGCCTGAAATAGGCAGCTGTGTCTGCAGGTGCTTCCGGGCAAGAGGGTTTTTCAGGTGGGGTGGGGGTGAAGTCAACCATTTGTCAGGTGAGCAATTCAGATGTACCCCTAACACCTGCAAACCACGTCAGGGACACTTCGTAGTCCATGCAAGTTCTATACGTGGCTGAGTCGTTGAGTTCACATGTGCAAACAAACATAGGCTGTCTTGCACCTCTCAATTCTATCTTTCCTGTCACAATGCTTCTGCCTTATCAGTGAGTCACACAACTGGAGAAGAGTGCACATTTTTAAAGAGAAACGCAAGCACTAACGCCAATCTCCTCCTCCACACTGAAGGGGAACTTTACCATTTGGTATTGGTTTCACTAACCTGACATGTACAGTGGTACCTCAGGTTACAGGCGCTTCAGGTTACAGACTCTGCTAACCTAGAAATAGTACCTCGGGTTAAGAACTTTTCTTCAGGATGAGAACAGAAATCACACAGCGGCAGCGGGAGGCCCCATTAGCTAAAGTGGTGCTTCAGGTTAAGAACAGTTTCAGGTTAAGAACGGACCTCCGGAACGAATTAAGTTCTTAACCCGAGGTACCACTGTAGTTCTGAGCAATTACCAAAGTATGTATCCTACACAGTGGTACCTCGGGTTACATACGCTTCAGGTTACAGACTCCGCTAACCCAGAAATAGTACCTCGGGTTAAGAACTTTGCTTCAGAATGAGGACAGAAATTGCGCAGTGGCGGTAGCGCAGCAGCAGCGGGAGGCCCCATTAGCTAAAGTGGTGCTTCAGGTTAAGAACAGTTTCAGGTTAAGAACGGACCTCGGGAATGAATTAAGTTCTTAACCCGAGGTACCACTGTAGTTGGGAGCAATCACCAAAGTATGTATCATATACCGTACCCACCATTGCCACCTGTTTTAATGTACCCCCACTCCTGATTCCAGTGAGATTTTCACTGCTTTTTTGTGGTTATGACCCGTGGCTTGCTTGAGGAACCAAACGGACATTGTGTCTTCCTGGAACATCCCCAACTCAAAAGCCATGCGTCTCCTTCTCATAAGTGTGGAGCAAACATGTGGCCGCTCCTCAGTGATGGATAGTTTGCATTCACTGCTCTTGTTCTAGGACTAAGCCCTGGAATTGCATTGATACCCTGATTCAAATAGAATCCTAGAAAATAAAATTAAACATATTGTGCTGCATGCCTGGGACAGGAAAGGGGAGGAAGGTCTGTCTGTCTGTCTGTCTGTCTGTATTTAGAAAGTTTCTTACCTGTCCTTCATCAGAAGGTTAGAGGGTGGGTTACAATTGTACAGTGTGCAGTTATAAAAACAGTTAAAACCAAATGGAACAGAACAGTAGAAATTCTGTAAAAGAGGCAGGTCCCATAAAATAAAATAGAAACCTTCTGTCAACGGCCAGGTAAAGAGATGCATCTTGAGCATACAGCAAAACCTAAACAACACACTTCTGTGGGGAGGGAGTTCCCCAGTTAGGAGCTTTGATGAACATGTCTCCTTCCCTGACCATTTGGGTCTGAAATGAAGGAATGTGGTAGAACATGCCTCCTCCTCCTCCCTGATCCAGTTTTAAGTCACTTCCCCACTCTGCCCTGGCACCTGTTCTTGAGTGCAGATGACACCAAGAGAGGGATAGAAAAGGGCTAAGCATGCCAACTGCCCAGGGTGATTCCAGGTGAAGCAGGTCAAGGAAGCACCTTGTCCTCCTGCAAATGAAGTCACTCTCACTGATTGCACAGATGCCAAAATCCATACACTCTTCCGCAGAAGCGCTTCCCCCCTCCTGTCCACTCATCCTTTGCCTGAGGAAATTTTTATTACTGATTATTTATTAGCTTTATTTACTTATTATGTATGTAAAAGTGAACATAAAACAGACCAACAAAGGCAGAACGTAGAGGCTCAAGTCATTGCTTAGGTTGGCTTACAAGCAATATCAAGGAGTGGTATTCTCTTTTAATATTTGTTTTTCTTCCCTGCCCTGAATCTGCCTGCATCACTTCTGTACATTTAATGTCACCGGGGCACTGAAAGGCTGTTATGCTTCAAGACTGATGTCCAAGACTATACACAAGTCCATTGCAATCTGCTCTCACACTCTCCCGTGGTCATTATTACCCCTTGGTGAAGCACCAGTGTGGGAAATGACTGGTGCTGAGGTTGTTAAACTGATGCAAGGTGCTTGGGGGTGGGGGGTGGGGAGCTGTATCTGAGCTGTTCAGCTCCTGGTCCCCTTCCTTCCTTCCTTCCTTCCTTCCTGGGAGTCATCCAGAGAAAATGCCCTTCTGCTAATCTCTTCTGCTGACCAGGAGAGGAGGAGGGCAGCAGAGGTCACCCAGGATTTACTAATATAAGCACATGCCTTTCAATTGCCATGGAAACATAACTCTTTCCATCGCACCTTCAAAGTTGCCCTCTGAGTTGTTGTTTAACTCTTGTGTCTTCTGGAGACCAAGGTGCCCCTCCCTGCCTTTTATGCTGATGACACTAAAGGCTGAGTGTTTGGCAAGTCAGCAAGCACCTGAGGCCAGCTGCCTGCCAAGGATTTGTCCTTTTCAAACCAGTGCTAAAACCAAACCAAATTCTGCATTTATATATGTACTCATGCAAGGAATGTCGTACACAGGCCTGGCTCTATCATTAGGCAGAGTGAGATAACTGCCTCAGGGGGCAAATGAGAAGGGACATGGAGCAGCAGTGAG